ATCCAAGTCGAGTTGCTCAGTTGTGCCGCTGCTGGCAACACAGCTCGTCCAAATCACCAACTAAACTAGTGGGCGGATCGCTTTTGGGGCGGAGTGCTTTCGAAGTCCTGCTCAGCAACCAGCGCACCTTTCGTCGTGAAAGCGCCACACCTCGCTTCCTTGGCAGCCAAGTAACTGCTTCGTGTGGTGCATATGCTTCCCCGATGCGCTTCTTCTTTATCGTAATCGCCAAATTTGAAGGAGTTTTGACAAAGGTGACTTTTGTGCTGCTAGCATTTTTATCCCTGATCCTTTATCACTGGTGCAATACTTGTTGTTTGGACTTGCGAATCCCGTCTTTGCTGCTTTCCCACTGCTTGGAACAGCAATTGCATTTTATTCTGTAGTGGCTTTTCTGAAGGTTTGGAAAGAGACCCAACGAAAGAGCAGGATTTGTAAGTTGTTTGGGCGCTATCTATGAAGGATCGAATATCTCCTGCTGCCGTTTAGGCAGTCTGCTTACTCTACAGAGGCGACGTCGTGCCAAAGGACATCAACTCTGCCATTTCTGCTGTGAAGTCGAAACGAACAGTGCAATTTGTGGAATGGTAAGCGTTTTCAAGGAACATACTTGAGTTGCCTAGGTATATTTTGACTGTACGAATTTAAAAATAATCGGTTGGTCAGAATATTTCGGGCTTTCAATTCCGCAACACCTTCCATTAAGAACAGTACATAAACACGGAAGAATTCAAATGGTGTATCCTATTACCGGAGGGGTGCAGAAAAAACATTTGTCTCCTTTCTCACTTCAGCGATTTTTGCCGAAAGCTTGCTGCCGTTGGAGGAACTCTAGCAAATTGCTCAGCGAACGTTTCTCTATGAGCAGACGCGAGCCCTTTTTCACCAACTTCGTCCTGTTCGGTATGGCGCCATCCCCATTGTCGTCGAGCTCAAGAAGACTTGACTCTAGACTCAAGAAGAGTTGACCACGTGTGGACTTGACCCCGCACCGTGGGCTTGGGAAGTGACGTCAATTGCCGCCCTGCCACCCCGCCCTCAATAAACATAAACAGTAGATGTGGCAATTAGTCGAGCAGTATGAAAAGAGCAGATGAGGGTTTGAATAACATTCAGAAGTGCATGAAGCCTAGCTATTATTTGTTGGGATTGCAGCCTTCTCATTGGCTGGTCACTACTGTACGGTCTAGAACCGCACCTCTTGCTTACCGGCCAGATGCGATACAAGTTACGCTACCGGGGTACCATTTTATTCCAACTGTTTTCCATCAATGTTCCTCGCAAAACTTACACCTAGGCAATCGCAAGCGTGGTCTCCCGAGGGAACAACCCCGGATGAGGTGGTGTTGAAAAGTCTTTTCTGTGGAGTGTTATAGAATAGTCTACTATAAACATAACATCGAAGCATCTGTAGAGATATTGGTCAAGTGTCGCTTCTCGTGTAAATTCGTCCAAGTGGCAGTATTAGCACTTTGTCGACTACTTCATCTTCTAATTGTTTTTACTATTCGTTTTTTTTTTGCTATATCGATAATTTTCTCCCTGATAACATTATCCTACTATATATAATTCGATAATTCGCGGTGTGGTGTGTGTGTGTGTGTGTGTGTGTTTGTCTGTCTGACCGGAAATTCATAGCTCGGGTCACAGCAATGATAGCGCCATGGTTCTTACATATGTTATAGGGGGTGGGATGGGGACACAAGTGGTATATGATAGGAACTGATAACTGCTGATTAATAGCTGATAAGAGGTGCTAGA